CAAAGCAGCTGCAGCAGCAGCCCAGCAGCAGCAGCAGCAAACCAGCAGCCGCAGCAGCAGCAGCAGCAGCAGCAGCAAACCAGCAGCAGCAAACCAGCAGCACCAGCAGCAGCAGCACCAGCAGCAGCAAACCAGCAGCACCAGCAGCAGCAGCACCAGCAGCAGCAAACCAGCACCAGCAGCAGCAGCAGCAGAGCAGCAGCAGCAAACCAGCCGCAGCAAACCAGCAGCAGCAAACCAGCAGCAGCAGCACCAGCACCAGCACCAGCCCAGCAGCAGCAGCAGCAGCAAAGAAGGCAAAGCATCAAAGAAGCAGCAAAGCAGCAGCAGCAGCAGCAGCAAAGCAGCAAATTAGCAGCAGCAGCAGCAAAGCAGCAGCAGCAGCAGCAGCAAAGCAGCAGCAGGAGCAGCAGACCAGGAGCAGGGACCAGCAGCACCAGGGACCAGCAGCAGCAGCAGCAGCAGGGACCAGCAGCAGCAGGGACTAGCAGCAGCAGCAGCAGCAACAACAACAACTACGAACCAGCACCAGCGACAGCAGCAAGCAACAAGCTACAAGCAACAAGCCAGCAACCTGTCTCCACCGACCAGCTCACAGCACCAGCACCGGCACCCGGCACCCAGCACCAGCACCGGCACCAGCAACCTGTCTCCACCACGCGCACAGCCAGCTCACTGCACCGGCAATCTGTCTCGAAAGCGCGCACGGGCAACTCATTGTTATTTGAAGTAAGATCCCCATAGCATCGCTATCTGGGGAACAATCGAAATCAGGAGCAGGAAGAGTTCACCACCCCCAATATCAATATCATATTGCTAAAAGCAAAGGGAACTCAGGTAGTCGAGGCTACCTTTCGTGATGATATCTGCTTCACGTTTTGGAACCAAAGCCCTTTTGGTGGTTTGGGGAGCTTGCCTGGCCAAAGCTTCAAAACGATTCGTTTGGACCAATGCTAGTCAAATTACACCAGCGTAGACCCAGATAGCTAGGCAGAATCCCACGACCTGTTGACACGCGACTGGCTGGAACAAGAATGTACGCAGTCTGCGCAGCCAGCTTACGACACCTCGCGCAATCAGCTGACACCAGCACCCGACCAGCGCCGCCGCCCGTCTTAAACGCGCGCTCAGCCAGCTCACAGCACCAGCACCCAGGACCACAACACCAGCACCGACACCCTTTTGAAAGCGCGCGCGCAGCCAGCTCATTCTTATTTGCAGCAAGAACCCCATAGCTATCTGATGGGGAATAACAACGTATTTTTTCGCGTATAAGTTTATGCGCACAAAAGTACGCGCGCAAACAGCAAAGCCCGTAAGTGTCATTGGCCCAAGGTGAAGCAGTATCCAGCGCCACTATTGACTTTGTAGCATGCTTGAAGCAACGATCTGCAGAACGACGAGGCCGTGTGATCTTGCGCGTACAAGTTTATGCGCACAAAAGTATGCGCACAATCGGCAAAGCCCGTAGGCTTCACTCGCCCAAGGCCAAGCAGCATCCAGCATGACTATTGTGTGTGTAGCATGCTGAAACATGCTGGTACAATGGTCGGTTGAGAGCCTGACGCATAGAACATTATACGTACAAAAGTATAACAGTACAGCCCTTGACACAGCTGTCGGCCAAAACAGAACCTGAAGGGTGTAAATACCCCACAGCGCTAATAGACCAAGAACGCTCAAGCGACAACACCGTATGATGTTGCGTGCATAAGTTCATGCGGCCCATGACTGCTTTGCACTTCATTGTCAGAAGCGGCGCTTGGTCGCCCTTCACTGCTGCAAGCGGCGGGTTGTTGCCCTTCACTGTCAGAAGCGGCGGTTGTTATCACTTCACTGTCAGAAGCGGGCACCAGCACCGAGCACAGGCGCGCCAGCTTTCGGCGCCCAGCACCAGCACCCAGCACCGGTATAGCACCAAGCACCAGCACCCGGCACCCTGTCTCCACGCGCACAGCCAGCACCCAGCACCGGCGCCCAGTCTCCACCACGCACACTGCCAGCTCACAGCACCGGCACCCCGCTGTCTCTACCATGCGCACTGCCAGCACCCAGCACCGGCACCGTGTCTCCACCACGCGCGCAGCCAGCTCACAGCACCCAGCACCAGCACCACAGCCCGCACCCGGCACCGGCACCCAGCACCGGCACCCTGTTTCCACCGCCCACCACCACCGGCAACCTGTCTCGAAAGCGCGCGCAGGCAGCTCATTGTTATTTGAAGTAAGAACCCCATAGCTTTGCTGTCTGGACAAAAAGGATCGCCGCATATACGCAAGCTACACCACCAGCACCAGCACCGGCAGCACCAGCACCGGCACCAGCACCAGCACCAGCAACCTGTCTCCACCACGTGCACAGCCAG